TGCTCTCAGAAGGCTCCTTTAGGTCTCAGGAAGGCAAAAAACAGAGCATGGGGGGGGCACACAGCACCCCTCCATACTCCGTTTTGGGACCTTCCTGGCCTCAGAAGAGCCTCTAGGAGGTTTTTGCTCCCAGAAGGTGCCTCTGGGCCTCAGGAAGGCAAAAAATGGAGAGGGGGGATGAACCCCTCCCTCCATTTTTTGCCTTCCTGGGCCTCAGCAAGGAGAATCTGGCACAGTTGATCATATGAACAGCTGATTGTGGGGAGGGGAAAAAAAGAAATACTTTAAGGGGCGAGCTTCAGGTGGGCGGGGTGAGCGAGCCAGCGCTGACCTGGCAACTGGGTGAGGGGCATGGCCAGCCAGAACTTACTACCGGTTCGGTGCCAAATCCTTGCTACTGGTTCGCCTGATCCGGTGCGAACTGGCTGAATACCAGGACTGATTTGACACCTATGATCTAACTGATTACTTATAACGGCATCAGATTCGCTCCCTACCTTATATACATATTTTACTTTTATTTTTTTAAATCTCTCAGACAGTGACCAGTCAGAAGGCTAGCATCTAATCAGAAAGCCTGATTTGAATATTGTTTGGTGAAAGTAGCATTTTCCTTCTTTTCTGAACTTTCCTAGTGTGGTTGGTGACTAAGAGATGCGAAATCCCAAGCTTTTTCTGTTAAATACAGTAGTCTGTTGTCATCTCTGTGGTTTCCTTGTTAAAACAATGGCTTTTCTATCTTGTCTTACCTATTTTAGGTATGAAATGTTGGTCTAAGCATATTGTTTTTGCCACATGCCATTTGGGGAGTTTAATTATTCACCTCCTGTGGTTTCTTATGGTGATTATTTTGTTCAAGGCTGCAAAGGAGAGGAACGAAAGGGGAGGAGGGGAATTCCCTGGGGCCCGCCAATGCAGAAATATGATTTTAAAGGTAGTATATGCAGGTAGTCCTCGCCTTATAGCAGTTCACTGAGTGACTGTTCAAAGTTACAACGGCATTGAAAAAAGTGACTTATGACCATTTCCCACACTTACGACCACTGAGGCATCTCCATAATCACATGATCAAAATTCAGGTTTTGGCAACTGACTCATCTTTATGATGGTTGCAGAGTCCCAGGGTCTTGTGATCCCCTTTTGTGACCTTCTGACAGGCAAAGTCAATGTGGGAGCCAGATTCACTTAACAACCGTGTTACTAACGGGCAAAAAGTCACTTAACCAATGTCTCCCTTAGCAACACAAATTTTGGGCTCAACTGTGGTCGTAAGTCGAGGACTAGCTGTATACTAAGGTGACCAACCATCCTCCTTTAGGGAGCAGAGTCCTCCTTTTGTAAGTTCTGTCCTCCCTCGAAAAGTGTCCTCCTACATATCCTCCTTTTTGATATTTGAAGACTAATCTGTAAATCTCCGTATTTGATCGATGCCGATCCGATCCGTTGTGTGTGATGTGACGTATTTGTATTTGACATGAGGATTTGTCAAGGCTCGGTACAGTGCGGCGAGATGCGATTATGAGACACATGCGCTCCACACAGGAGAATTGTTTTGAGAGAGTGCGCCGCACGCAAGTGGCTTTGTTTTTCTTCTTCAATTTATTTGTGTCCTCCTTCTCATTGTAAAAAAGTTGGTCACCTTACGTATCCCAGAAAATACTAACATCCTTACCCAGAGATGCTTTTGAAAAATAGGATGGAATGGAAACTGTAATGAGTATCTGGATATTGGATCTCTATTTCTCTTATTGTTAAATAGATATTAACATTCCATTTATATTTCTGCAATGTAATTTTCTGGCTAAAGGGCCCTCAAACAGCAAAGAGCAGAACAGGAAGTCAAATCAACCAACTAGTATGCAGGATCTGCACCTCCATACAACGTGGGGTTGGAAGGTGTTTGCATTGGCCCATCTGCAACCCCCTTCAATCTCTGCTTACTCACCAACTCCTTCGCATTGTCCCGTGTTTCTCCAACAATATGCCCCCCCCAATAGGAAGCTCCAGCATGTTTTCTAGGCATAAGATGAAATTAAGCCCCTCTCCCCAAACTATAGGCCCATTTTAAAACATGTGAAATAGGGGGGAACTTGCTGTTAGGAGCGCTCCGTGGGCAGCCATGCCTCGCCACCAGCCACTCCCAATGGCCGACCATGGCGGAGCGCAGAGTGTTCCCTACCCCCGCCAAGCACCTTTGCTGCAGACCGGTGTATGGTGCTGATTGCAGGCCGGGTCAGCGGGTGGGTGGTGGTAGCATGGATGTCGGCCTCGGCGGGGCACTTTACATCGTGAGAACTTCGGCGCCCGCCACAGCTGCTTCCTCTGCTGCCATTTCTTTCCCTTCTGCCCATGCTGCTGCCACATTTGGAATGCTACGCATTCCTCCACTGGCAGCATTTCAGCCGCTTCTTGGGTGGGGGAGCCGCCTCCATAGCTTCCACGGTTCCCTGCTGGCGCTGGTGCCTCTCTCGCCAGCACTGTCTCCAGCAACAACAGCAACAGCAGCAGGAACCGTGGAAGCTACAGAGGCGGCTCTCCCGCCTGAGAAGTGGCTGAAACGCTGCTGGTGGAGCAATGCGCAGCACTCCAAATGCAGCAGCAGCATGGGCAGAAGGGAAAGCAATGGCGGCAGAGGAAGCAGCAGTGGTGGGCGCTGAAGTTCTCGTGATGTAAAGTGCCTCACTGAGGCTAACATCCACACCGACTCCGCCTGCCCACTGACCCGGCCTGCAACCAGCACCATACCTGGGTCTCCAGCAAAGGTGCTTGGTGGGGGTAGGGAGCCCTCCATGCTCCACCACGATTGGCCATTAGGAGCGGCTGGTGGTGAGGCATGGCTGCCCGTGGGGTGCTCTAGGGGAGGGTGTGTGGGGGGGAGAAATTAAATCACCCCTGAAAAGACGGCCGAGCCATTTTTTGGGGGGTCAAAACTGAAAAAAATGGTAGCTATGCAAAGATGGCTACAGATAGTGATGGGGAAGTCTCTAAATAAGTCTTTAGAGGAAAGTAGCTTGTCTTGTCCATCGAGGCCTCACACGGATGAAGCCAAACTCTGAGGAAAAATCACACGCCTAGCAGTCTGTGGAGAAGAGGTCATTCCCTGCCCAGACGAACTTTAAATAAGAGAAAAGAGCAGCCTCCATATTTGTCTTTTGGAAATGGTGTTTCTTCTCCAAGTTTAGCTAGTGCCAAGATAATGAGAACGTTCCTAATCCAACAACAGGATTGAAATTAGTGAATTTGGACCACTAGCTAAGATCAGTGAAACTATTTGCAGTACAAGGTCTGTTTTATTTTATAGATTGTGATGTGAACTGTGAAATTTTGGAGCTGGGATAATATATAGTCTCCAGATTAATAGGACATAAATCAGTCTGTTGAGGAAGTATTTGTTTATTTCTTCTTCTTCTTCTTTACAACTTTATTTTTCTAAATTCCTCTCCTTGGCAGATATAGCAAAATTTGAAACATTGAACTAATGGTCTTCATTCTAGGAATTACTTTTCCCCATCACTACTGAAGAGAGTAGATGGTAAATCAGTAGCAGAAAGAGTTTCTTTGGATTTAAAGAGATTGGTGGCAACATATTGAGTCAGGTCTTTGTGGGGATGGTTGGGAAGAAAACTTGAAGATTGATTCCTTTTGGACATCAGTAGGGGATTAAGCCATCTCTCTCTCTCTGTCTCTGTCTCTCTCTGTGTGTGTGTGTGTATCAGAGGTGGTATTCAGCAGGTTCTGACCAGTTCTGGCGAACCGGTAGTGGAAATTTTGAGTAGCTTGGAGAGCCGGCAAATACCACCTCTGACTGGCCCACCCCCATCTATTCTGTGCCTCCCGAGTCCCAGTTGATTTGCTGGGTCTTCTTTGGTTGCCCTGCGCAGGAGAACAGAGCTGGAAAGCAGGTTAGTGGGATGGAGAGGGAATGGGATTTTGCAGTATCCTTTCCATGCCATGCCCACCAAGCCCCGCCACTATACCCTATTGCAGCTGATTCTAATTCTTCTTTACTGATTTAAAAAAACTTATAACCTAAGCATTCCCAGGCAGGGTGCAGTGTTTTTAAAAATGCATGGAGAACACCATGAAATGCAGAAACACATCAACTAAAATAAGAAAGCACACAATGGCTCTGCACCCAGCACAGGAACTCTTCATGCGGGGAGCAATGCTAATCTCCAAGCCTTCACATTTGACCACTTCTTTAACTGGAGAAGAAGGCTGGGGTGGAAGGGATGTAGAAGGCACAATTTCAGTGTAGTGCCAGGGTGAAAAGAGGTCATTCATTTCTCCCTCCCATATTAAATCTCAGCCATAACATTATAGTGGGACTCCTACAGATGCCACCTGTTGCTTTATTACAAACAAGCATATTATTCCCGTGGATGGTGATGCTGGCTGGATGCCACTTTCTTTCTTTTCTCTCTCTCTCTCTCTCTCTCTCTTCAGACTGTCACTTGCAGAGCTCTGAGTTTGGCTTTTGGCATAGGTCAGGGCACGCCTGGCAGATGCAGAGCTATTATTCAGCCAAATTTCAGGCAACACATGTAGAGGCCTGTTACCAGCAGCAGGCAAAGCTGTCCCTGTAGGGCTCACAAAGCATGCCAGTTCACCCTGCCTTTGTGAGCCTCACAAAGTTTCCATGGAAAGCCAGCGCACAAAGGTATTAGGAAAAAGAAGAATGGGGTTTACCAGATTTGAAATTGAATTTTGCAGCTTGTTGTTTGGTTGGAATGAAAGATTGCTGGTTCCTGAGGGGGAAAAAAAAAAGACTTTTAGAGTTAGAAGTTGTGACCTGAGGTTTGGATGGCATGGATCAGTGGTAGGATTCAATTTTTTTTACTATCGGTTCTGTGGGTGTGGCTTGGGCATGGTAGTGGTACAGGTAGCCCTTGATGTACAACAGTTCATTTAGTGACCATCCATTTAGTGGGCATGGCTTTGTGGCTGTGGCTGTGGCAGGGGAAAGATATTGCAAAATCTCCATTCCCTCCCCACCCCACTAATCTGCTTCCGTTCTCCTGTGCAGGGCAACAAAAGAAGACACAGCCAATCAGCTGGGACTCGGGAGGCAGGGAATAAATGGGGGTGGTATTTGCCGGTTCTCCCAACTACTCAAAATTTCTGCTACCCGTTCTCCAGAACTGGTCGGAACCCGCTGAATACCACCTCTGGCATGGATACTTATGGTACGATAAAATTAAGGTGGATTTTGAAAATCCTTTTATTAGGCGTGTCACATTAAGAATATGGAATAGATATAAACCCAGCCAATGCCTGAAACCGCCTCTTTGAATCTTAAGAAGCATTCCATAGAAGAGAAACAGCAGGCAAGGACAAATAGTTCATGTAGCAGGAATTATTGGAAAATAATTAAGGAGAATATAAAAATATATTAAGAGAGCAACTAATGGCAGGAAGATATAATTGGGTCAATGGTTTTCCCATTTACAATTAACAGAATGATTCAAAAAAGATGAAAAGACTTATGGTTTACAGCAAAGTGAGAGAGAATTTGAAGTATAATTGTGTACCAAAGATGAATATGCAATTGCTGAAATGTATAATTTTTTGTTGAAATATGAGACAGAGGAAGAACAAGTTACAGAATGTATCATAAAGTGAGCTAAAAATTTGGATTACAAAATGCAGATGAATCAATGGGAAAATATGTGACTAAAGGGATTAAAATTTGCCTTATGGTCTTAAAGAGAATTTTTCTAAATGATGTATCGTTGGTATATGATGTCAAAGAAATTATCTAGAATGTATAAAGCCACTTGAAAGAGATGTTGGAAATGGGAACAATATGAAGGAACATCTTAACATGCTTGGTGGACCTGTTCAAATAGTTAAAACAATATGGATTCAAATGCATACATTGATACAGAAGATTTAAAAAAATTAATATTCAATTGAAGCCAGAACTTTTCCTTTCAGGATTGATGGATAATAGAAAAAAAACTCATGGAAGATTATTTCAATATATGATAAGTGCACTGTGATTATTAACTGCAAAAAGATGAAAAGATTTGGCATTACTCATCATGACGGAATGGTTGATGAAATTGTCACGGCTTGCTCAGATGGACAAAGTAACCTCTAATTAAAGAACCTGATAGATTGTAGAAAGAAGTGTTGTGACGTAACTTTAGAGAGAGATGTTTAAATATGATTTTATTTATGACTGATATGAAGATTATTGGAAGCTACTTCTTTCTGTCTTTTTCTTTTTTCCATTTTCTCCTGCATTTCTTTTAGCTTTTTCAATTTTTACTTTCACTTTTAGCTTCTATGTCTCTTTCCTTTTCCTTTTGTCTATTGTATTTTAGCTTATATCAGTTCCCATTATTGCTGTTAAAATTTGCAATAAAAATTACAATAAAAGGAAAAGTGCACAAGTGCTTAGCCAGGAATAGACACTGAGTTGCCTTCGTTAAAAGAGAGAAAGAGAAAGCACAGCTGGACAATTATGGATTCTTGAGATGCAAATTAAATCTGATTTGTGAACCAACTCCCCTCCCTGCCACCCCTCAACCTCACCTTATTTTATTCTTGAGACTTTCAAATTTTAAAACAAGGCAAGGCAAGCAATACCATATGTTTTGAGCTACACAACTCATAAAATCCAGAATATTTGGCGATGCTGACTGAATTATATTAAAAAAAAGTCTGGAGAATGTCAAGTTGACTATTCTGAAAATATGCCTATTAAAAAAAAGGCATTGAAAAGCTAGAACATATGCAGACTATGACTTAATTTCTATAGGTCCTATTACTATAAAGGGCTACAGAGAGCCGTGTTCATTTCTGAGTTGGTCCATACTCTTCTAGTAGGTAAGTAACAACTTTATGGCAACTGCTATTGACAGTGATTGCTTATTAAAATAAATGGATATCAACTATTGTCCTCCATCTATTACATATCTAACACTGCAGTTCACAGTCAACACACTTGTAATATCGGTCAATGGAAATATGAACTATAGAAACCCGAGGCACTATCAATGGTAAATGGGGACCATCTTAAGTACAATTTACCAGACAAATCTATCCAAGCATGCATGACAATACTAAGAAATGATTATTTAGCCTTTTTGTGTGTATAAAAAACACATCCCCCAAACTTGCCTTTTGCCTCTAGTTCATTGCAATCACTATGAACTAGGAAAAGCAAAATAAAATATAAGTTCTTAATTTTATGGTTATGGACCACGTGATGAATGTATATGCTGAGCTCTTTAGGATAGCACGAAGAAATATCTTTTTAGTTTTTTTTTTAAAGCAGAATATAATATATATTATAATAATGCCTATTTTAGTCTTCCCTGGAAAGGAATAGGTACCTGGAAAACAACCCAGATAATATTAGAAGTCGGGATAGAAAAAAAATTCAGGAAGCTTCCTTATTAGATTATAGGAATTGCCTATGGACATAATGTATCTTGACTTAATATTTGGTAAAATACCCTATGACATTCTGTTTTTTAGGTGAATTTCACAAAACAGGAGAAGATATCAGGAGAAGTGCCTTACAGCGCAGTTCTTTGCTAGATATCCTACAACATTTTCATTGGTAGTTTTGGTAATGAAATTTATAAAATTTCTATTATAGAAGAGAGAAGCAAAATTGTACCCACCTCCAGGACTGTGTTAAGTTCCAGGCATCAAATGTTTTAAACAAAACATTCAAAAACATTAGAGTGAAGCAACAATGACAGTTGGAGGATTTAAGAGAAGAGACTGAGGAAAGTAATATTCTTAGTCTTGAGAAAAGACTGGAGGGTGGATATGATAGTGCTTTTCAAATATCTTCTTCTATAAAAAGGTCAAGACCTCTTATCTATTGTTCTTGTGTGCTGAAAATAGAATAATGCTCTTAAGTTACAGGAAGAACAATTCCTGACAGAAGAATAGTGAAACCAATTATCTGGAGATGTTGTGGTTCTCCTTTACTGGATATATTTAAATAAAGGTTGGCCATCTGTCTTCTGGAAAAGTTTTAAATTGGATTCCTGTAAGCAGATGATCAGGTTTGATGGGGTTTTCCAACTTTATTATTCTATGAATTTATAATAATAAAGTTTCTGCATAAATGTTTCTGCATAAATTCATAATTGTGGGCATCTGATAATTATTTGTTAAACACAATGGATCCCTCATTCTTGAACCACTTCGTAGGCGGAGAACATATGTGGATGATAGAATATCAGCATTTCCTAATTTCTAAAAATAGATGAATGGACAATAATATGACTGAATCCCCACTAAAACTGCGTCATGTAACTGTTCAACATTGTATTGTTGGAAGATGAGTGGGAAATGTAGAACTATAATTTGTAGTCTGGATCACATAAAAACAAAGATGAATGAAAGGGATGACAAATATGCAAAACAATGCAATCCGTAACTATTCAGAAGTAAACTTCTCTGAGTTGAGATTTACTCCATGGGAAACCCAGAAAAGATTGCTTCCTGAAAGTCAGATGCAAACTTGGAAGTTCAATCATTTTGTGTTGCGAGTTCTTCGGAGAAGTTCCATTCTTAATTTAAACAATATGATGGAAGAAGAACCTAAAAAAGTCGTCCTACTTTATAAGTCTATTACATATAAAGGCAGAAGCTTGGCTTGTATTTCTGGGACTGACAGTCTAACATCTTTAATGAATAACTCTTAAAATCTCCACTCATCAGTAACACATTGGCAGATGGATGCCTTGCATTTTGGGTCATTTTCCCATTCTGTGTACTTAAAGGTCCATGTCAGTGTGGCAGGATTTAATTAGCGGTAGTGCCTCAACATCACCCAACTAATTACTAGTTTCCCCAAAGAAAGTAAAAGTGTGTGTGGGGGTGTGGGGGGTGGAGGGAGTGAGGGGGGGGGTGGAACAACAAAGAACGCTCTTCCCTTAGCAAATGAAACTTGCTAATGTTCCCTGTAAACACTACTACTAGTTGGCTTCTTGGCAAAGGAATAATGGAGTTGATGAAAAAATACAGTGTTCATTTGTGAAAGTTCTTCATAGACACAGTTTTCATCATTATGTCTTCATCTTAATAGCCTTTATGGACCTAAATTGGTTAGGAAAACGTTCTCCTCTCCTCCAGCCCTCTGTAACAAGGGACTACAGTAATCCAATTTACTGCTGCCTCAATTTTCAAACAAGGCTGTTACTATTAATGGGCTTTCATTATTAATGGGGCAGCATTTTTATGGACAGATCTAAGTACAAAACTGCTGGGCTTTTCTCTGTTTCTCTTGATTCCTTACTTTCCTGTATTCCTCCCCCACCCCAATATCTTTGTGAAAAAGAGGGCCAGATTTAGGGAGCAATTAAAGTGAAGTAGAAGACTTCTCTGTCTATAAACAATGAGCAAAAAAAAAGTTTTTTTTCTCCAGACAGCTGGGATTTTTCCATCCCCAGTGCTCTATTGCAAGATTATTTTTAATCACTATGCTTTAGTCAAAACACCCAAAATCTTATTCTGCTTAGCTTTTGCCGCTGCAAACTTTGGTGGCAAATAACAAAACTACAGTAGTACATCCAGCTAATGGGGTTTAATCTGAAGGTCTTTTGAAATATTTAAATCAGAGGGCATCTCACAGGAGGAGACTGAAGTACAGGACTGGCCAGGGTTCTTCTGCAATTAATGTTTGCCAGTAACCTGCATTTAGTTTTCTGTTGAAGGATTTTCTTTGAAGCCCTATGCTATACAAATTATTGAGATGTAGGGAAGGTATTTTAAATGTGAAAATAATGCGAGCAGGAGCTCTGATCTTTTCAGTCAGGTATCAGTAGCTCCAGGTATTTCTCTCTTCACATTGGAGCTTTAAAGACCTTCCTTTCAAGCCATGGCCCAGGTATGTTGTTCCTTCTTATGCAAAGTGATTCAGTCATTAAAAAAAAAATCAGCGTATACCAGGCCAACCCCACCATCTCTTTTGACAGAAGAAGAAGAGCCATTGGGATTCAAAGACTGGGTTTGTCACGGATTTTCATTTCTGAAATTAGTGCTGCTAATTACTGTTTCCGAATTAGTGTTTCCATCCATTGCCTATTCCCTACAGTTGTTACTCTTTCCTTAGTTCCAGAGTACTTTATCAATTAGTGGCTTATTGTTAGATTATTGTATTATTAAAGGAGCACCAATGGAAATTGACCTCAGATGCCATGAAATGCCAAGCTTCGGTTTCTATTTTCATCTTTTTCTTCAGCACCCATAATCTATATCAGTGTTACCTCAGATTCCAAAGACTTCATAATCTTCCACAAAGCACAGATAAATTGGCTTACTATTAGAGTTGCAGAATTTTTTTGTCTTCAACCATCTGCTGTTGAGAAAGTAACTTACTGTTTGCTGAGGCCGCCTTTTCAAGCAGCATCTGTTCCCTCTTCCTGGGTTTCCTAACAAAACATATGTAGGCTGGAATGACTGGCTGCCAGCTATTCCAGTTAGTTATTAGAGAACTGAGTAGAGCAAACTACACAAATGGTTGCGTAGAACAACTCTATATATAACAATTGTGCTGGGCATTACATTGTCCAGAAATTTCCATGACGTTGTCAGTCTTCTATAGCTAAGCCAATTCACTCCTTTTTCTAGCTCCAGAATTAACATTGTCATTCTTGCTGCAATAGGTTTAACATGATTCTTCTTCCTAGCATTATTCCCACGCTATGGTAGGATCCACTTGTTGGCAAAGCCATCACCCATTTTGGGTCAATTCAGGGCATCTCCAGGAGCAATACAACCACATATTTCATGCCCTCCTTGATGCAATTCATCCACTATCCGCCATGGGGCCGCTGGAATTAACATGATTAGCCCACTGGAATTTACCTCTGAAATCACAGAATAATAATGTAAAATGTGAATACTCTCTTCATCAGCAGCAGGATTGGGTCTCTGTGTGAGTAGTAAAATTACTTACCTTTATTATCAACCATTGCCAAAAGCTTGTTTTCAACTGACTATTATAAATGAAAGCTATTATAAATTTATAAAAATTTATAATAGTTCTTTAAAAGAGACGTTTAAATTATTACAAAAAGTACCTTGGATTCTAAGACACACACACACATACATACACACACGTATATTTTAGAATCCAATAAATCATTACTTTTTGTAACAATTTATATATATACCAGCTTTTATTGA